ACAACATGAAAATGTGGGTGGGAAAAGTGAAGCACCCACACCTGTCTCCACCCTCATTTGCCTCACTCTGGGCTCTTGAGCAAGGCCTTTAACCCCCACCATCTGCTCCCCCGGTGCCCCAGACAGCAGCTCTCTGCTCCACACCGAGGGCTGTGGTAGCTCGGTGGGCTGTGGTTGTGTCAGTAACAGTGTCCTGCATAAAAGTAATGGCCAAGTCTTTGTGCAACTGAGTTCACGGTGGTGACCTCTGAGCAGCCGAAAGAAGAGAAAAAATATATAATTCTCAGTTTGTACGCATCATTTCATGATTGTCTATTGTTGTCTTTGTTGTCCACTGTTGTCTTCATTCTTTGTTAAAATCAGGTCTCTCTTGTAAATGAGTCCTCGAGGCTCAATGGGATTTACCTGTATAAATAAAGGTTGATTGATTGCACTCTACTCCTTGGTCAGTTGATCATCATTATACACGTAGGCTCTCACACTGGTTCATTTTCATCTACAAATCACTCCTTGGTCTGCTTCCTTCTTATATCTCCTCCCACGTCACATCGTCAGTGAAGTTACAGCGTGCACACTCAGGCCATCATTATGGTAGCTGCAACATTCCCGCTGTGCAGACTGAACTTAGCAAAAATGCACGTTCCTATTCTGCTCCTGCAACCTGGAACACCTTGCAACAGGAACTGAAGTTGTCCTCTTTAATTTCTTTAGGGGATTTGAAACATTTGATAAAGTCAATAAAACCATCAAAGAAAATACGTTCTTGTTTTTAGTATTTTACCTTGTTTTACGGTACTTTGATTTATTGTTTTCAATTCAATTCAAAAATACTTTATTAATTCCAGGGGTAATTTAAAATTTATACACTACTTTATTTTAATTGTATATTTATTGTACAAACCGGATTCCAAAAAAGTTGGGACACTAAACAAATTGTGAATAAAAACTGAATGCAATGATGTGGAGGTGCCAACATCTAATATTTTATTCAGAATAGAACACAAATCACAGATCAAAAGTTTAAATTGAGAGAATGTATCATTTTAAGGGAAAAATCTGTTGTTTCCAAATTTCATGGCGTCAACAAATCCTAAAAAAGTTGGGACAAGTCCATTTTTACCACTGTGTGGCATCCCCCCTTCTTCTTACAACACTCAACATACGTCTGGGGACAGAGGAGACCAGTTTCTCAAGTTTAGAAATAGGAATGCTCTCCCATTCATGTCTAATACAGGCCTCTAACTGTTCAATCGTCTTGGGCCTTCTTTGTCGCACCTTCCTCTTTATGATGCGCCAAATGTTCTCTATAGGTGAAAGATCTGGACTGCAGGCTGGCCATTTCAGTACCCGGATCCTTCTCCTACGTAGCCATGATGTTGTGATTGCTGCAGAATGTGGTCTGGCATTATCGTGTTGAAAAATGCAGGGTCTTTCCTGAAAGAGATGACGTCTAGATGGGAGCATATGTTGTTCTAGAACCTGAACATAGTTCTCTGCATTAATGGTGCCTTTCCAGACGTGCAAGCTGCCCATGCCACAAGCGCTCATGCAACCCCATACCATCAGTGATGCAGGCTTCTGAACGGAGCGTTGATAACAACCCTGGGCTATCCTTGTCCTCTCTGGTCCGGATGTCATGGCGTCCCAGTGTTCCATAAAGAACTTCAAATCGTGACTCATCTGACCACAGAACAGTCTTCCATTTTGCCACACTCCATTTTAAATGACCCCTGGCCCAGTGCAAACGTCTGAGCTTGTGGAGCTTGCTTAGAAATGGCTTCCTCTTTGCACTGTAGAGTTTCAGCTGGCAACGGCGGATGGCACGGTGGATTGTGTTCACTGACAATGCTTTCTGGAAGTATTCCTGAGCCCATTCTGTTATTTCCTTGACAGTGGCATTCCTGTTTGAGGTGCAGTGACGTTTAAGGGCCCGGAGATCACGAGCATCCAGTAGAGTTTTACGGCCTTGACCCTTATGCACAGCGATTGTACCAGATTCTCTGAATCTTTTGATGATGTTATGCATGGTTGATGACGATAACTTAATAGTCTTTGCTATTTTATGCTGGGTAACACCATTCTGGTATTGCTGCACTATCTTTCTGCACAACAATGGTGGAATTGGTGATCCTCTTACCATCTTGGCTTCTGAGAGACTCTGAGAAGCTCTTTTTATACCCAATCATGTTGTCAATTGACCTAATTAGTGTTAAATGGTCTTCCAGCTGTTCGTTATATGCTCAATTTCCTTTTTCCAGCCACTTATTGCTACTTGTCCCAACTTTTTTGGGATTTGTTGACACTGTGAAATTTTGAATCAACATATTTTTCCTTTAAAATGTTACATTTACTCAGATTAAACTTTTGATCTGTCATCTATGTTATATTACGAATAAAATATTGACATTTGCCATCTCCAAATCATTGCATTCAGTTTTTATTCACAATTTGTTTAGTGTCCCAACTTTTTTTGAATCCGGTTTGTATTTTATTGTAGTCTGCACTCTATATGTTGTCTGTCTTAAAACAGGTCTCTCTTGTAAATGAGTCCTCGTGGCTCATTGAGACTAACCTGTATAAATAAAGGTTGAATGAAGAATGTGGAAGAATGACAGTCATAGTTTTAAAAAAAGAAGAAATAAACTGTAAATAAAACACTAAAAAAGTTCAATCTGGTTCTCTGGACATTCAAAAAAACAAAAAACAAAACAAAACAAAAAAAAAATCTAGAAACGTTTCGTCTCTCATCCGAGAGACTTCCTCAGTCTGAGGTGCTGTATTCAGCTCAGTCTCTTAAATAGCACCGTCTCAGAGTGGATCAACCAGTTTGCTGCTGACAACCAAAACCAGCTGATCACATGCTCAAGAAGGACCATCAGCCTAACAATGGATCATTAGCACACTGATGGCTGTTTACTATTCACAGGGGGCTGAGTGGTACTAGCAATCACAGCGTTGTAAGAGGGGGACAGTTGAACCCGGAGGCCTCCACCCCTGTTTAATGATGGACGATTTCTTTTCACAAAGATGGCCTCCTTTACTCCTCCCTCAAACCATCGTTCCTCTCTGTCCAGGATGTGAACATCTTCATCCTTGAAAGAGTGACCGCTGGCCTGGAGATGAGTGTAGACCGCAGAGTCCTGGCCTGATGATGTTGATCTTCTGTGCTGGGCCATCCTTTTGGCCAGTGGCTGTTTAGTTTCCCCGATTTAAGACTCATCACCCTCCTGACACTGAACAGCATACACAATATTACTCTGTTTGTGCCGGGGGACTGGATCTTTGGGATGAACCAGTCTTTGTTGTAATGAATTTTGGGGTTTAAAAGCCACTGGGACGTTATGTTTAGAAAATAAACGTCTCAGTTTCTCTGATACCCCCTCAACATACGGAATGACCACTGGTCTGGGTCTGGGTTCCTCCTTTTCACCTGATGGCTGACTGGAGTCCTGTTTGGGTTTCTTCTCTGCTTTCAGGAAGGCCCAGTTAGGATATCCACATTGCTCTAGAGCCTGTCTTGTGTGGGATTTCTCCTTCTGCCTGGCTCCTGAGCTAGTGGGGACGCTGTCTGCTCTGTGGTACAGAGTCCTGATGACTCCTAACTTGTGCTCCAAAGGGTGATGGGAGTCAAACTGCAAATACTGGTCTGTGTGGGTGGGTTTGCGGTACACCTCGGTTTGCAAATGTCCTCTATCCGAGACTGAGACCTCACAGTCCAAGAAAGCCAACCTGCCATTTTTTACATCTTCTCGTGTGAACTTGATGTATTTATCCACAGAGTTGATGTGGTCAGTAAAATGTTGGACTTCCTGAGATTTAATTTTAACCCAGGTGTCGTCAACATACCTGAACCAATGACTTGGTGGTGTCCCTGAAAAGGACGTCAAGGCTCTCTTTTCTACC